ACATTATATGGAAAATAATGTTTTTTTTTTAACCTTAAACTGCATAAACACAATTGCGTTACACCAAATACACAAAATAATGTTCTTTTTAGCAACGTCATATGACCCCTTTAAGTCAATGTACAGTGAGTTACAACAGAGCAGGGATGAACAGTTACGGTTTGTCAGACTCTAGCTAGAGTATGAATAGAACAGATAGCCCCTTTATGGCCGAATTTTCATATCATTTGGGCCAGCGCTGATAACACAAGCAAACGTTGCATTTACCCAGAGCAATTAAAAGCAAAAGGAACCAAGACATAAAGTGGTTGACAAAAGTTTAAAAGATTAAGTGCAACATACATAACCTGACTAATCTACAAACTGGGAATTTTGGAGGATTTGAGAAATAAAGCAATATAAAGCTCTCAAACCACTGAGAACAACTAAAGGCAGAATTGCAACTCATTCAGACGTTCCCATCATGCTCTTGGACAGTGACGTGCTGTTTTTCCACATAACCTGTCCATCTTCATACCTCATGCAAATATGAGGCTTCTGTTAGTCATTAAAGGCTTAACAAGACTTTCGTAAATACCTGACAATTCTAAAAGTATACATCAAGAGCTTTACATCTCATTTTAAGTAATCTCAAGGAAGGCTTAAATAGTACACAGTCACACTCATAACACACACACACACACACACACACACACACACAAAATAATGCACTCACTTAGCGCTTGGAGCTGGTGCGTGTGTGCACTTGTGTATTGTGCGTCCATGGCTGTTTTTACTACACAACCCCACCTTGCACAAATTAGCAACTGCAATAATTAAGTGCAAACTTAATTTCTGCTACACAAACATTCTGCTAAAACACATTGACACACCCTCTGCCTACACACGATTAGAGAAGGGAGATCAAACTCCAGGAAAAAGCTAGATATGAAGAGTAACATTTCACTGGCTAGAAAAGGAAAAACTTAAAATTTGGTCCATTTTTTACTTTAAGTAAAAAGACAGAATGAGTCAAATAGCCAGTCCAGCATTGAGAAAAAGCATTTGCATAGTTAGCATAAGATACACATGGTAGTTAAACTTGAGCTGAGTTTCAGTTTCACATTCTCCTCTGCCAAGCTGTCGGTGAGAGTGAGAGAGAAATTTGATCTTTGGCATGACAATCAATCAGTGTGTCCTGTTGAGCCACGTTTGCTGTGTGTGTGTGTGTGTGTGTGTGTGTGTGTGTGTGTGTGTGTACAAAGAGGCCGAATTCCAATTTTTGCCCTCTTGAAGGAAAGGGATGCTATCTGTAGGGTTGTTCTTCATGCAAGTGAGCAGCAGAATCCCTCTATGAAAGATTGTTCCTTAAAAGCACAATATGTAAGATTTTTTTATTAAAATATCCAAAAACCACTAGAACAGTGTTATATATTTTGCTGACTTGTGTACTTACATTATCCCAAATGTTTCGAAGAATGTTTAAATCCAGAGAAATAAGCAATTTTAACTAGTGACACGGAGCGTGTCCATAGTGTCTTTGTGTCGCCTGCCAATGACGTCATAACCCCTCGATTTCCGGTTTTGTTTTGTAGAAAACATGGAAACACCAAAGACGCTTTAATATGTTGTGCGTTTTATTAGACCGGTGACGACTGCACTAAGCAGCATTATAACAGAACTTTCAAATGTATCTAGTATGATAAAACAGCGCTGCTTTTTTTCCCCACATACGCACGACCAGAAGGAGCGGAAGCAGTCGACTGTGGCATAATAAAAGCCCCGCTGCTTTTGAGCCGTGTGTCACGCTCGTTCAGTGGCCTCGTTTCGCTTCGACGGCTTTCAGCCTCACCCTGCTTCATTCTACTATGTTAACAAATCATTAGCTCATACATGAACATGATTTCTGCCCGAGTCCCGTCGGATTGCATTGGCTGTGGGGATGAAGACGACAACTCCCATGATTCCACACTCAGTCACGACTTCATCAAACTACGCCTTTTCCTTTGTTTATTTTGAATACGTGCCCTCTAGCGGCAAAAATTACATATTGTGCCTTTAAGTCTATTTGTAAAGTGCACTTATGGTGGTCACTTAAGATCCCGGGTGCCAAGCTTTTACCATTCATTTTAAAACCTGTGAATCTAAAATAGCTTTTGTACACCAAACAACTACCAGCAGAAATGATTCCTTACATATATTACTGTTCAAAAGTTTAGAGTTGATACAATTTTTTTAATGTTTTTGAAAAAAGACTGTACTATTGTGAAATATTATAACAATATAAAACAACTACTTTCAATTTTAATATTTTACTGATGGCAGAGCTGAATTTTTAGCAGTCATTATTCTAGTGATCAGTGTCATATGATCCTTCAGAAATCATTCTAATATGCTGATTTGGTGCCCAAGAAACATTTCTTATTATCATCAACATTGAAAACAGTTGTGCTGTTTAAAATATTTGTGTGTGATGATTTTTTTTTTCAAGGTTTACAGACTCCAAACTTTTGAACGATAATGACATAAGGCTTCGTGAAAAATGTACCAAATGCTAAAACACAAGACAGTAATGCCCTGTCTGCCCTCCAAAATTAGTAGGGCATAGTGATGCTTACTTTTGAGTAGAACTTACCCAACCTGTCTGTTCAGGATGAAGTAAAGTGGGAGTGTCGTTAGATAAGGTAACAGGATGTGCCGGCTGAACTACCAGGATGTTTAAGCAACAGTCACATGCAAACGGTTTTGATTAATCCATTCTGTAATCACTTTATGCAATGCTGTAAAAACATGAGACACAAAATCCATCTAATTCATTTCTATAAATGACCACTTCACTTATGGGAAGTCTCTCTTAGGCTGAATGAAAGAATGGATCGATGTGTCACTCATCCTTTCATAGAGGCATTTCCCAGAACCCTCCCTACACATTGACAGTCTGTAGAGAAATAAAGCTCTCTGCTCATCACACACAGGTACTGACATGCTCCTGCCAGCCTGTTGTGCTTTCTCAGCGAGCTCACAGAATAACACGCACTTTCTAACACACCCTGTGTCTCTCAAACACACCCAAGATCACTTTCTCCCACAAGCACACTCATGATCTCACAGTAACAATTTTATTCTGTTTAAAGTATTTTCTCCCTCACACACACACACAGGTGTGTTAGCACCACACCATTCCCACAGAGTCTAATAAGAAGCGTCTAAAAGCAGGTGCAAAGCCAAAGCGAGTCACCAGGTAAGTGCCAGCAGCTATAAATGTTTTTTTTTCCTGCGTTTCACATCTCAATACAAACAGAACAGATCGGGTTTGACTCAAGTCTGTAAGTAAGATAGGGTAAGCTACTCTAAACCCTCCTAAATACCTGTTTCCTAACCCAGACCCACTGGTGAGGATGATTTTATAACAAACAGTGAGAAAATAGATGTGTCACAATTCCATATGTAGGGAATTGATCTTGAATGAATCTTTCACTGAAGACAACAGGTCAAAGTCCTGTGTGAGACTCTGTCCACCCTTCCCCAAACCCCCCACTATTCCTTACAGGGCTGGGCGGTATGATGTTAAATATTGTGATGACAATATACAGTGTTTAGAGATGGATTCTGCTACATCATGGTATGTAAATATACAGTATTCATGCAGAACTGCTTCAAGCTGAGACATCTGAGCGAAAAAGTACTCAAGGTGATGATCGGATTTATAGCTTTAATAAGAATCAGTGCATATTTAATTCATACAGTGAAGAATGTGCAGTTTTATTTTACATCTGATAATTCAATTTTTTACTTGAATGCTACAGTTAAACAGATCTACTGTACCTGGAAAAGTAAATGCTATTTGTATCTTTCCTATATTGTATCCTATTGTTTGTAATTAGCTTTTTGTTCTTATTCTTAATAACAAATATTAAATAAAAATATAACTATATTGTGATTTTATGTTAGTATTTGTGAAACAAAGTTACTCATATCATAAAATAAAAATTTTGGTCATATCAACCACTCCTAGTTTCTTACAACACCTGATGGAAGTGGGTGTATTTCTTTGAAAACAACAAGAAAACTGAACCGAATTGAACCAATGGTTTGATAGTGCATGTCTTTCTATCTATCTCTCTGAAAGCTAGGCAGGGAGAAATTGATTTCACTAGTTAATATTTACAGAGCCCCCTGGGGATAGGCTACAACTGAATCAAGATAACATGCCACCACCTGAATGCTACAAAGGTATGCAATAAAAAAAGTGAGAAAATAAATGTGTTAAATGAGACCAACCATTGTTTGTTTAATGATTTCCATTTGTACTTTAATAAATGAAATATATAAATTCCAACAAACGTCTAGTCCCACAACTGAGCTTAGACACTGAGCTCTAAATACCTTTCTGTGGGACAGTAATGAGAGGGTGTCCATTATGAAACAGTTGGGGGTGGGAACAGGTTTACAGAGTACAAAAAATTTTCTGCGTCATGCTTGAGAAACATGTTTGGCGACAACCGCCTTTTGGCAAAACATACCTGCAAAACTAAGGAGCAACCCGAAACTATACATATCTTGATAAATGAGCCTGGATAGCAGCAGAAAAGAAAAACAGAAACATCTCTCGGGCTCGCTCGGTTTAATCTTAATCCCTCTGTCAACTATTCTGTTCATCCCTCTGTCTGTATCACTCTTGCTCGCTCGCTGACATATATGGTTCTCAGGTAGGTGCGTTCGCAGGTAAACATTCCGTCTTCCAGATGTCTGCTCAACACATCAGTCCACAACAAGACTAGACCTGCACTTTCCCCTAGAGCAGAGCGTCTGTGCCTGCCTTCCTTCCCACACCCAAACCACACACACATTACACACCACAGCAAGCCACCTAAATATCAACCAAATGCCATGTGGACAATATCCAAGACTTACCTTATGCTGATACATACTAAACTGATGAGAGTCACTGCTTTACATGTAACTTTTAATTGCTGTATCTATAATATTATTTCAAACTAAAGACACACATGGTCTCTCACCTTTTGCAGGATGCTCTCCAGGGGCTCGGCCTTGCACAGCTCCTCCGCCGTGAGCCCGGTCTCTTCCTTGCACTGCTCCGACAGATCCGCACTGTCCGGCTGTACTAGAGTCCGCTGCAGCTTGCCCACCTGTTAACAACATCATCTCTTTCAACCGGCCTAGCAATGCAACTCTAGCGGGGTTTCTCATCGGCGCGCCCTTTAACACACCTGGCCGTCGAGAACACAGACGCAACGTTCAATGTTCTCCACGCGCCTATGCTGTTTAGGTAGGCAGCTCACTGGGTTTGACACCGAGTCACTATGGGGATGATGATGATGATGTTGATATCACAGACAGTGTGTTTGTGTGAATGCAAAGCAAACACGGCAGGGTTACTGACCTACAGGCGATGACACGCACCAAACAAGGCACGCTTTCGTCTCTCGTGGCTCGAAAAGACCACATTATAAATGCTCGAATCAAGCTGTCAAACAGATCATCAAATAAAACAGCTGTTGCTGGTGATGTAAATCACAATGTAGCGCGTTTAGCTCTCTAAAAGCGCGCCTTGTTGGTGAATGTCAGCTGTCAATGTGGTTTCTAACACTAGCACATTACTAGGTGGGTACTTTAAAGTAAGAGACCTTACAACAGGGTCAAAAGGTCCGTACCTTATTCTCATGTAGATCCACAATTTGCCACACCAAGAGAATTAATTCCCTTTCATCCGACCCCAGTTTACCCCCATTTGCACCAGCTGTTGCCCCAAAGAACACCACCAGAGTATCACTGTGCGAAGCCATCAGGGACCACAAGGGTAAAAACTATAATTAAGAGCAAAGATCAAATAAAACAGTAACACGAGGGTTCACCTTTCTCCAAGAGAAGCAAACAAAAGAAATGGAAATTCAATTGAAGTACACGAGAAAGGACAGAAGATTACTCCAGGATAAGGACACGAGAAAGAGTGCGGCACGAGACTCTACCTGTTGCAGTACTTGTGTGCTCTCTATCCAGAGTTACTGGTTTGACTGGTAAAGAAGGCAGAAAAAAGTCCTGGTTCGTCTCACGCTAACCCCATAACAAGCCCTGAAGGCTTTTCTCGCTGTCTCGTTTTTTCTTGGTTACCTGGCTTTGGCTCGGCCTCCCGTTTGGAGTCAATCTCCTTGGGGAGCGCGTTGATTGGCTGGTTTGTAAAGGTGAGGGCGGGGTGTATTGCCACGGCACCTATGTAACCCGTTCTGATTGGTTCATTATGCGCTAGGAAGTAGGAGAGAAGATCAGAATTCATTTGTCCCGCTTTGCTGTTACACACCTATGCAGACGCGCGGTTGCCTTTTAATATAAACGTTTTTATCTACGTAAAACGGTGCACTTACGTTGAAAGAAATAAACTTTGAAAAGCTTTCAAACAGGCCTATGTTTAAAAACATTCACACAAGAATAAGACGTCATAGGCTACTCATATGAGCTCCCTGAATAAAAGTTTTGTTTTAGATGTGGCCAGTGCGCTTCCATAAACTCTCAAAAACGAATAATATTCAAATATTATATAACGTTTCTGCCACTCTCACTAAACACATAATCTCACAAACCCGTTTTAGACTATCGATATTAGTGCTACATACTACTACATACATACATTAGATATTACTTGTGCTACATACTGTAAAATAGTTGATTCTGGCCACGTAGTTGTTTATGCAGTTAGGGGCAGTTTGACTGACACGTTGAACCACCAATCACACTTCACTTATTTCATGTGACGATTACGGGCGGGTCTTATTCATTGCACCTTGCTGTTACAATCTGACTAGAAATTCTTAAATATCTTTTAAGGATTCGATGCCAGGAACATCGTAATCTTAAAATGAATCGTTGCCGCGATTTGTCCAATTTTGTTCTTCTTAATATTGCCAAATTATTTTCCCCCCTTCAAAATTTAATGCTTTTGAGTGTTTATTCATTTCAGCTCTTTTTTAAAAGAAAAATACAATTATAGGTAACAGGTTTGGGTTTTAAGGTTAAATTGGGTAGAAGAAAAAAATACATGGCGCTATGACATAGCATGGCACAGTAAAAAGGAAATTAAATGAAATTCTTAAAATAATTCAGGAGCCCAAACCTGTCCTGGGCTCCATACATATACCCTATAAATACAACTGTACTGAGATCTGAGTTTTGTTTCCATGATTCAGTGCTCTTGTGTGCCTGTGTGTCAGTAATGAAATCGGACAAAAAGCCAGACAGACTGTCTTGTCTGCAGTCCTCTCACTATTCCATTGCGTGCCAAACTTAAGTGACGATTCAATGTCCCATTCCTCTTCCAGACTCAGGAAGTCAGGCACCTCTCTCCTTCTCTCTGGTTTCTTCTTGAGCAATGGTCAGCTGATTCTTTCAGTCATGAAATTTGTGTTGTAAAAGAGAGATAGAAATAGAACCACAGGTCACGACATGAGAAATGTCATGTCACCACTCTGGAATACATGACTTTTAACATAATACTGATTTTAAAACACTGGGCATCATACACTTGTCACCTTTGTAAATGGTCACAAAGAAAAACTGGGCATTATACACTAAACAACTGAGGATAACACACTACTAGGCTTTAAAATTGTTCTGAAAGCAGCAAACTCACACAGAAACATAGGCCTCATTGCTAAGAGACACATGACAAATGAAAACAATGTGTTCTAAAATCGGCTCACAATATCAAACATGGACTGGATGTAATCACAGTCTGAAGCTTTAAAATCAGAGTCTGTGCATCCTACACTATGAAATTATCTGTGAAATCCGTCGACACTGACTGACCAAAATCTGCAGACTTGCTCTGACTTTGGCCAACTAGTGCTGATCAGGGCAAAAATTTGTACAAATGTTGTGTAATGTATTCCAACCTTTAGGTACAAATTTTGCATTTAAAAAATTCAATAAATGTATTTATTATTTTAATTCAGTTAATAAAGGTATATCACTGAAAAGTGCCACAAAAGAGTTCACAGATATAGAAACAGCCTGGTGAGTTTTTCTTTTGCTTTAGACAGTGGCCCTATGCAAGATAATTTATGTTTAGGTTTTAAAAAAATAACTGCTGTTTAATTTTCATATGAAAGGAGCATTATAGAAAAGCATGGCATTACAGTGGAATCTTCTTCCAGACAGACATCTGTTCCGTTTAATGCCCACGTCCTCTTTCACTCCGTTACAAGAATCACAAACACACACGTTGCAAGGAGAAGGAAGCTGTTGAAATCACAATGCACAGATGTAAGACTAAAAACAGTCTGTTTACATAAGATACCATGGGAATTTGATTGTAAACAGAAATATTTGCAATAAAGGCATTTGAGATATATTACATATAAAAGTGGTTTCATCATAGAATATGCAGTTGCAATTTAATATAACATCTTAGCGAGTATTAAAATATACTCAGAACACAAAGTACAAGGCACAAGCAAATATTTTACTTAAAAAATGAAAGCAATTCTGAAATACAAAATTACATTAAAAACTTCAAGCACTCTTTTTGGAGAAATAACAGTTGTAATGGTTATTATTGTTATTGAGTTTCTGGCTTTAAAGCTTCTTACAGAGTCAGTCTGAGGTACTGATGCATGATTCCATAGCCACATCTACAGGCACTTTTGAGTCCGTGAGACACTGTGAGTTGGTGGTGTGTGAACTCTGTCTTTTGGACACAAATGATAACTCTTTATTCCCTTCACCTGACACTGCACTGGACAGATGCTGGAAGAGCTTCTGTATTCCAGTTTCCCGGAGCGAGCTGTGGAAGGTACGAGCGGCAAACACGTAAAGCACTGGATTGACTGAGCTACTGATGAACGCCAGGGCTCCTGCTATAATGGTCATTGTGGTGCAGGCTTCCTCCAAACTTTCCGCCATGTTGGGGTTTGAATGCTTGAGAGCGAGCGAGATGAGAGAAAGAAGGTTCCCCACATGATGAGGAATCCAGCAGACAGCGAACATCACCACCACACTGCAGATGAGAACCGTCGACTTGCTCTTGGACTTGAAGTTCATCTGCGCTATGCGACTGAAGAGGCAGCCGTAACAGACCAACAGAGTGAAAAAAGGGATGACGAAGCCTATAAGAGACTCTAAAATGAGCAACACGGCCTCCTGGGCATCAGTCTCATACTCCCTCAACAGACATTGATTTTGTCCGTGAACTTCTCCCAAAGTGTGAGTTAGAATGACAGGAATACTGAGGAGAAATGAAGCCATCCATATCATCAGAAGTACCTTGTTTAGTGCTTGTCTCCTCCTCCAGCCAACTGAGGCAAAGGGGTATCTGACAGCCACGAAGCGCTCCACACTCATGACGGTGATGATGAAGACACTGCTGTACATACAGGCATTGATGATGTACACCATGGCTTTGCAGGCAGCCTCTCCAAACACCCAGGAACGGGCCAGCGAGTAGATCCACAGCGGCAGAGTGACCAGCACCAGAAGATCTGCGGCTGCCAGGTGGAGGATGAGAAGCACCGTATGTGAACGCTGCTTCACATGCTTCAAGATGGTCCACACCACCAGCAGGTTCCCAGGTGTGCCCACCAGGAAACACACCCCCAGGATCACACAGGCCCCCACCAAGCCCAGCTCGGTCTCCTCATCCTCCTGAAAATAAGCTGTAGCGTTCATGATTCCCTCTCTGTCCATTCGAGTCCGCTGTACATCTAACCACTGAGCTAGAAAACCTGCCTCAGCAAAACTCACTTCCCTTTTGTGGAAGCTGAGAAAAACAGAACTCTCAAGCACAGAAAATAAAAACATCTGAAGTGATATTCTTCGAAAAAGACAACCACAAAGTTTGTACGTTAGCATGGGAGGAGCATCACAACTGTGAATTCAGACATAAGACTTCTGTAAAAAGTGGATGCAATTATGGTTTGTTTACACTCTTGAATTTCTGACATTTCTGAGTCACTGTGGAGTTTTACCTAGGCAAGCAAGAGTACAGCGCCGACTGCTGTTACCCGGATGAGCCTGTGTTATTAGCTTTTACCGGTTGTTATCGAGGGACCTCCGACTGACCAATCAGAATCAAGTATTCCACAGGGACGTGTAATAAATATATATAATATGTTTTTAAGGCCCTTCAGATATACAATAATGGGGCAGAGAAACATTTTTAAAGCCCTACAAATGCTCAAGCAGAATATTTTAGGTTTTTATTTATTTATTTATTTTTAAATCAATTTTCACCTCTGTGACTATTGTGTGTGAAGTATTATGACATTTAAACAAGTGTCATCAATTAAAAATCAAAATATGTCATTTCAAATTTTTACCATAAAAAAAACAGATGAAGAAGAAGAAGAAAGAAGAAGAAGAAATATTATGCCATTTAAATAAAGTTGACCATTAAGAACATATCAAAATGTCTAATAAGTCTAACAGTTACTCAGAGATCTGTGAGATCCCTCTTGTTCACCACCATTGGGCTCTTCAAGGATCTTTCCATCCTGCAGTCCAGAATCCTGTAAGAAGCCTTGCTGTGTTTGTGTTGTTAAGTCCTGAAACAGCTTCACTATACCATACTTCTTCAGACTTCCATGTAAGTTTTTAGCAGCAAACGCATACAGCACAGGGTTTACTGAGCTACTGATAAATGCCAGAGCTCCAGAAATGAAGACAACACTATTTGGGATATGAGACCATTCATCTGATCCTCCTACTAGAAGAACCACCATCCCTACGACATTGAGGATGTGGTGAGGTAACCAACACACAATGAAGGCCACGACCACTCCACAAATGATAAAGGCCGTTTTCTTGGTCCTAAAGCGTACCTTTCGGAGCTGTACGGCAACCTGACAGTAGCAGATCGCAAGTGTGAGAAATGGAATAACGAAACCAAGCAGAGTCTCCAAACACATACAAAAGACTTCAATGGACATAGAGTTGTAGTCCCGGTAGAAGCAATGTTTCACTCCATCATCATCTTCATCGATATATTGGGTTAGGATGACTGGAATCCCCAAAATGAATGACAGGATCCAGGTCACTGCCAGTATTATGGAGATAGACATCCTATTTTGCCAATACAGCATCTTTAAGGGGTATCTGATAGCTAGGAAGCGCTCCACACTCATGACGGTGATGATGAAGACGCTGCTGTACATACAGGCATTGATGATGTACACCATGGCTTTGCAGGCAGCCTCTCCAAACACCCAGGAACGGGCCAGCGAGTAGATCCACAGCGGCAGAGTGACCAGCACCAGAAGATCTGCGGCTGCCAGGTGGAGGATGAGAAGCACCGTATGTGAACGCTGCTTCACATGCTTCAAGATGGTCCACACCACCAGCAGGTTCCCAGGTGTGCCCACCAGGAAACACACCCCCAGGATCACACAGGCTGCAATGTTCCCTCCAGATGACCAGCTGTCCGGTAACGAATCACTGTCACTGTGAAAGGAGCTGTTCATTTTTGTCTCTGTTTTTAGTGAGTCTGAGTTCTGACTGAAACTCACTGCTTTTCAGTTCCTTATTCTTACAGCTTATAAAGCAACACTTCCACTGTCTGTTATTCATATGACAGAAAAAGGTGGAGACAAATCATATACCCACATAGTACAGTAATTCATTGTTTCATTATTGTGCTGTACTTTTGGTTTTCTAAAACTGAAACTGAATGAAACATTAAACGGTATATAGAGTGAGAATCCTTAGCGTTCTACTTACTTGAAATTAAAACCGATAGCAAAAAGGGGGAATCCGGAGAGTGATGTTACACAAGTCAGTTAAATGAACTTGAAATGAGTCACTGTCACACATGAGCACCACCCTCCTGAGGTGACACTAGAAGTTTCTGTGTATAAATATGAAGGATTTACATGATAAAATAATAATAAGAAAAAAAATTGTATGTATCATTCTTATAGTGTAATTTGCGGTCTTGTTAAGGACAGGTTAAATGCCTATCATCTGAATTGCAAAGTTCTCTTCTGTTTGTTTTGATATAAATTAGGACTTTAGGTCATAATTAAGTATGTGTCTGGTGCCTGCCTTATAATTAAAACCTTATAATTATTTGTTTTAATGAAACATGAAATAAATCAGACAAATGGCCACAAGGCTATCAGCACAGATGAAGTTGAGATTTCTGACCCATTGAAGGCAAAAAAATCATTTTGAGAAAACAGCCTTTGAAGATATGATATGTATTGTAATCGAAATCTGCATTTGGCAAACAGATAAAGTGTTAAAATATTACAAATACTAATATTAATTATTTGATTGATGTACTACATTTAAAGTTGTATTAATGTTGCATTCTGGCAGCGGAGTAGTAAATTAACATCTTTTGTATTGGACTATAATTTACATAGTTTAGGGAGAAATGATAGATTTCTAAATAACCTTCTAAAGTTGTATAAAATATGGAATTAAATATGAAATATTTAATAAATGTTTATTCATTCTATGTTCATTGTTAAGTCTACTTAAAAGGTTAGTTCACCCAAAAATGAAAATTCTGTCATTTATTACTCACCCTCATGTCGTTTCAAACCCGTAAGACCTTCGTTCATCTTCGGAACACAAATGAAGATATTTCTGATGGAATCTGAGAGCTGTCTGACCCTGCATAGACAGCAACGCAACTGAAATGTTCCCAAGTCCAGAGACGTAGCAAGGAGATCTGTAAAATACATGTGACATCAGGGGTTCAACAGTAATTTTACAAAGCTACGAGAATACTTTTTGTGCACAAAAGAAAAAAAATAACGACTTTATTCAACAATTTGTCTCCTCCGCGTCACCCTGTAGCGAGCTGCGTCACGCCGGATCTGTTTCCTACGTTGTTTGCGCTTTGATTTGAATGAAAACAACATATCGTATATATGACGCAGCTGACACAGAACAGCATACGTGTTTACGTCCAGCTGATACTCTCCAAAATGGCGCTAGGGTGACGCGGAGGAGACGAATTGTTGAATAAAGTCGTTATTTTTTTTCTTTTGTGCACACAAAGTATTATCGTAGCTTCGTAAAATTACGGTTGAACCCCTGGTGTCACATGGATTATTTTACAGATCTCCTTGCTACGTTTCTGGACTTGGGAACATTTCAGTTGTATTGCTGTCTATGCAGGGTCAGACAGCTCTCAGATTCCATCAGAAATATCTTAATTTGTGTTCCGAAGATGAATGAAGGTCTTACGGGTTTGAAACGACATGAGGGTGAGTAATTAATGACAGAATTTTCATTTTTGGGTGAACTATCCCTTTAATTATACTAATTATTATTATTTTCATGTGATGTATGATGTTTAAGGAGTATCTGATGATCAAATACCCCGTTTTTTTTTTTTATGAAAATCTGAAGTCAGACAAACATTTATTACGTCCACGTCAAGAAGATCTAGAAGTAAAAGAGAAGACATCTCAACAACGAGTCCTCCCTCGTATCTGTCATAAGTTAAGACACATGAAGTGAAGAGTGTGCCCAGGTGAATGTGACAGTAGCGCCATCTGCTGGTCATACTTCATACATACCGTAATAGCCCAAACTTTCACGCATTTCTTTCTTCTGTGGAAAAGTTGCTTATTTGTCCAAAACTTACATTCCCCTAATATAGGCATATCTTAAGTTGATGCATCTGACTGATGGGGTTTTAGACATTCATGAAAGCATGCATACATTCCATGCTAATTTTAATGCTGATTGAGAGTTTAAACCAACAGAGTTACAGTATGTCAGCTGCATGAGGTTAGTGCAGAAATTATAGTTTCTTTAGTTTTTTTTCTTTTGTTCATTACAGCTAATTTTCTTCAGATGCGGAAGGTCTTTCTGATCCAGTATTTCACTGTCTAGAGCACAGCTGGTTTGATCCACTTCATACAGACACTGCAGGACAGGTTTATACAAATGATGGATCATTCATTAGCCGATTAGTATTTTTCTTATATTTTGTGTAATGCATATGTGATTTCACCATGTTACAAAGACATTTGTTTATTTTACTTACTAAAGCAGTGCATAAGAGATCTGGCACCTGGTACAGCATTCAACAGCATTTCACCCAGTCTAACCCAAGTGCAGAAACACAAATGCAAATGCAGATGGATACACCTGTGCAGCCTTTGTATGTTATGTGTGTCGTGAGCCAATATCATCAGTAAACGTAATACTACTGGTACCAAAGTGATATTCCAGCATGTAAAGTATATTCAGTGGACATAAGGCTATCCGATCCATAACAGAAGCTCTGTGGGTTTTTTGTCAGTAGAGGACAAAACAATGAAAAAGCATGTTTCTTCGTCACTAACATACTTCTCACAAACTTTTCTTACTTTCCTTCTTTCTTTCTTTCTAGTAAGGGTAATGATAGTTTGATAGTTAAGGGTGATGGACAAAGGTTTAGAAATTGTGTATTGTTTGTTGCTGGCTGCTTGATTTGGTTTGCTTACCATGGTTAAGTTAAACATCAAGGATTTAAATGAAGGTGTAAATGAAGCACTCCAGACAAATGCTTCAGAATGCTTCAGTGACTCCATGAACAATAAACATAGGTGCAAAAGGTACAGGTAAAATGTAGATAAAACCACATGTAATTTATAGGGAGGGTCCCCTCTGCTCTCTACTGAGACCTCCAGCACACACTCAGAGCAACAGCATATATTGGTTTTCCACCTATTAACACATGCTATAAGTGTGAAAAGATGCTGGCACCTAAAAGAGATTGAACAGATGAGTCGTCCCAAGCATCACCTGGAAACCTTTCTCATATCAGGCAACAGCCAATAACTCGTTTCTCTCTATCACACACTTGGCCCAGCACAGCCCCTCAGCCACCTGCGCCAGATTTCATGGAGTGCCTGAGATGTAACAGCAGTCTGTCGCCTCAGTTGCATTAGAGAAATGGCCCCGTGATAAATATACTGTGGGAGATTAGCAGACATGTGGGTCTCTCCAAGATGAGTCTGTTGACTGCAGTACTGATGAATCTCCATCAACAGATAGATGATGAGTGGACACCAGCAGAACCCGGATACAGGCAGAACTAATACAGCACAACGACACACACCATTTACAATGCAAAGAGACAAACTATGACACCTGTGTGAGAAAGCAAAGGGAACTAATGCAGACGCCCAGAAGGCCAGAGGGCCGGGGTCAATCACTCAGCACAGCGTCAGCACAGAAGCACTCACATTCCAGCAGCACAGACCAGCAGGGGCTTGGTTGAAATTTAGACAAATAGCACAGTGACAAGCTTTGGGGTGACACAGTGGTATAGTAATGGTATCAAATGATAAGACTATGGTATTTTGTTTTCTGTACTTATCGTGATACTCCTATATAGCTAGCTACTCATATACCATTGGTATTTTAAGGTCCTTAAAAATAATTTAATGGAAGTAACAGTATTTTTCTTTAGTGAAAGATTCTCTGAGGAGCCACTGTTGTAATATATAATAGCCTACGACCATCCATCTTCAAGAAAAGGCTAAAAAGAAACATCTCTTCAATCAACTTGCACTCTCTATTCTTTTTCTATCCTATCTACTTGTTTTCTTTTTATTTTTTTTAAACATCCTCCAACACTAACGCTCTCTATTCTTTTGACTTGTTTTCTTTTTATTTATTAAAAAAAATGACCCTCAAACACTAGCGTTGTCTGTGCTTTTTCTATTCTATCTACTTGTTTTCGTTTTAATTATTATAGTGTTCCACGTGTACTGCGTTAGGCTAACCGAGACTTGTCATCGCACTTACATATTATTGCTCTTTTGTTGGTGTTGATTGCTTGTCCACATTTGTTAGTCTCTTTGGAAGAAAGCGTCTGCTAAATGACTAAATGTAATGTAAATGTAATTAATATGAAAACAATGATCCCAGTTTAGGATAGGTGGCAGTTTTATGATTTAAGTTGTTCCCAATGTATCGTATAATATATATAAACAAAACAGATGAGGCAGAGCGCTGCGGTATTCATGGCTGTGCGCCCTCTGCTGGGTGATTTGTAGTACAGGTTGATCATCCTCCAGTGCTAAGAAGAGGAGGTTATTTTTTGCTTTCTAGACGCTAGGAAAAAGATAAGCAGATAAATATCACACAGCATTTAATCAAAAGAAAGAGAGAGAACAAAAGATTGCATCAGAAAACTAACAATAGAAATAAAATGCATCGGAGATAAACTGTATTTTACCACACCATAGTAACCTTAATTGTGGTTTGGGGAAGATTAGGATTGGAGTTTTGCCTAATGGTTAGAATTCGGCTATGTGTAAAGTAAGAGTTAAGATAAGATTCTGTTTTGTGAATATCTATGTGTGCTGGATGGACATTCATTAATTTCATGACCGTCTGGAGATCCGAGAGATGTGTTTTAGATTTGACATGAATCGGTATGTTTCCATTGCTCATATTCAGCTTTTCACACTTCCTGAAGTTCAGATTTGTCTGTAATATTATTAAAGATTGATGGTGCAAATCATTCTTGGTAAAACAGTTAAATAAACCATAGTACTGCAGAAGCCCATGCAGCCTCACTAGAGCACTCAAAGCTCATCATACTCACTCACGCTGTGACTGATTCAGCCAATTATGCCTCATTGAGTTCACTCTCGGGTTTGTGGTTTCCATCCGTGTGTGGACAAAACAAAGAACGCTGGAAAATTCTGTGGCATTTCCTACATGCTAAACAACTTAATTTCATATCTCCCTGCCCAGATGTGGCCTTTGCATATTTCAGTCGCTCATACAAGTAGATGATGTTGGCCAATGGATGCCATGCTTTCCTGATGGGGATACTTGACTCCACCAAAATGGACTCTAGAGGTTAAAGCAAATCTAGTCTATTTCCTCCAGGCGAGGCTTTAAAAGAACAAAGATCTATTCAATGGAACCCCACCCGAAACTGTTTTTAGATTAAGATTTAATTGATTAATGGGCGATCATTCAAGTATTTTCACCTTCCTTCCTGTTACAGACAAACCATGCTACTGTGGATCAATTTATGTAGAGAAATAAAGCAGCAAAAAGAAAATGTGGTTCAAAGGTAACTATAGTTTCATAGGCAAAGACACAGTATTTCCTGTTTAAACTCATAACGTGTCTGTTGCTTATCTTATATATAATTATAAAAAAGCATGGCCAATGAAGAACAGTTGCTTTCCACAAGCCATTCACAAATAGTGTGAATAAGCTATTGATGACAATGTTCCTCAGGCTAAAACGGTACAGTAAACTGAACCGAACATCATTTCTCACACTGCTTGTTTACATGTATTTGAATGTGCATTTAAACTACACACTGCTTGTGCCCCAAGGCACAATAACATCATTAGTAACAATGAATCTGTTCCTTAGCTCAGTCAGTGTGCAGAAATTGAATACCAGCCCGCAGGGTTTGTGGGATATGTGCTTCTACTTTATGCCAATCATAAATGATTAAAGACAATAAATAAAACACACTTTCTTTACCGGTACAAAGCAATCCAGTCTTTATTACTTCTGTGTGAACTTGTTAAGATGGAAAATAAAACACTTGAGTACATACTCATGCTTCAGCTTGAAGTGGAACTTGCAACGCTTTTTTAATTACTATTATCTTTTGATTTTACACTTCCAATTTGGGTTGGCAACAAAGAATGGCACTTGAGTGATTCTCATGTTGACTGGTTAATACATGTATAAACATTACTTCCTAAACGCTATGTCCTCAAAGCACCACTGGTGCAACTATTTACAATTTACATGTTGTATTTTGTTATAGTTAATAATGTAAATAAGAGAACTGAAATGAAAACTCTCACCATCTCCAAACAGGCAGCAGTGCTGACATGAGGTCAGTCGTATGATTTGAATGAATGCTCTCTGATTCTGGATCAGGCCAGCTATCATACAGCATATTGACTGACTACAGGTCCACAAACTATGGAAACACTAGAAAGAACAGAAACTCTACAACAAATGCTTTAAACATTGCTTAACACCTTTAGTGTACTGATGCTTAGAGATTTAGCCATACCTTTTAACATTAAGATATTTATTTTCTAAATCAAACCAGCTGAAGTCTGCAGCAAAATGGGCAACAACAACAACGACAAAAAGAGTGGGAACTGAATAACCGCAACAGTTCAGAAGTGTATTGTACACTACTACAGTATTTACAGTTAATAATACAGCTGAGAACACTACTGTATCTTAACATTTGAAAAGAAGATAAATACAAGAATATTTATTCAGTTTTATAGATAATTTTTAAAATTATATAAAAGCTATTGAAGCTAAAAGTGGCTTAAAAAAGAAAAAGAGAAACAGTGCTATTTTGAGCGCTTTTTAAACTCTGCATGAGATTTGCTGGCACTCAATGGGAACAATAAATACTAGCTCTGTACTCCTCTTCGGTGTGGCAACGTTGTCTTCACAATCTGAAGCAGACAGGTCTTAAACCTAAAGGATGAAGGAGGACAGAATAACATGCATTACATACAAGCACATGTAAAAGCACCAGTTTAAGCATGAATAATATCTGAGCTGAGATGAGTTTTAATGCACATAGCTATGGAAGTGCGATGTCATGGAGCGAAAGCCAGACTTACTGCAGCAGTGGTTACTGAGCTCACACTATAGTAGAGGGACCAATCACCTGAGCTTCCCCCTGTGACGAGAAGGAGATGGGCGCAGGTGTTATCACAGGTTAAAGGGGAGGCTCTGATTTAATCATCAGGTGATCAGTGAATGTGTTTATTAGTGCTGGCATAAGCATGGGTGTTATGACATGTTTCTGCATCAGGCTATGTCCACATTTATCCGGATATATTTGAAAATGGTGTTTCTGTTTTAAAACATTCTCTGATGGTACACAGAGACAAACATAATAAAGTTCTCACACTATTCTGGCACTATCATTTTATTAGAAACTCATTGGTGTGTCCAGGTTGCACCAGTATTGGTTATTGGTTTTTTGACAGCCAATGCCGATATCTTAAGAGAGCAGGGTGATAAAATTATATATATATATATAGTCTGGCGCACCATCAAAATAAATGTCTCGAACATATCAGCCAAACAGAAAAATGTATTTATCGGTCGACCATTACTTTAAATTGCCAGTAAAGCAATAGGCCAAACATGCAACGTCGCTTTCGAATACTGCCGTTTTCACAGCCCACACTACAACAGGAAAACTGTGTTTTCATATGTATCCACTTGTAAGCGCATCTTCAAAAATCTCAGTTTTTGCTGGATCTCAGAGTGGGTAAAAGGCCAAGAGGTATAGAAATAGTGAAATGATGTGTGAAATGTGTTTTCAAATTCATCCAGATGAATGTGGATGTAGCCTCAGTGACACTGATTGGTCATTTGATGTTGGCACAGGCCTGAAGATGTGCCATCTGAAACAGACACACGCTATACTAACCGCTGAGATGTACTGGCTGTTAAAGCAGGGTTTCTCCTGGGTGGGAGAGGTGATGGAGGAGTAACAGGAGGAGTCACACGGTGAGCTGGGCTCCTCGGACAAAGCCTCGGGAAGGTGACTGGACACACATCCGCTGTCTGACCCGCTCGAGCCACTACCTGACAGACAGTGAGATGACGAACCCGAACTCTCTGTAGCTACAAACACAACTCAAAGATCAACATCCTGTTATATACATGGCTTCTGAGGAAATGTTTAACACTTTCAGATGTTATGATACATACTCATAGACGGTTGACTGCTTGTCTCGTGCTCCAGCTCATCTTCCTCGATGCAGGGGCTGATGAGAGGTCTCTCCCCTGCTAACAGGCTTTGGGTGCTGTACATATGCAGATTTAATGGGCCCAGCAGCGTGGAAGAGGAGGGGCCACTGGACACTGGGGGGCCACTAACGGGAGCATTTACTGCAGCTCGTTTGAATGGGTTTGAGTGGTCAAAAAGCGAGACAGCAATGGAGGCTCTCGTCCTGGCCCCTGTAACAGAAGAAAGAGTAAAATCAACCCATAGAATCATAATCAAAATATTATTCTGGTCAGAGTTAAAAAAATAAAAAAAATAAAAAATCAAGCAAGTTATTCTGATGAGTTTGTCATGGTAAACAAGCTCACCTCTGCCTTTCATAATGTAGTCAATAGCTCTGTCGTTGATAGCAGCATCACTGGGTTTAATGTCCAGGAAGGGTTTATTGCCCACCCCCATAGAGACCATCTCCTGCATTCGAATTTCTGCATTCACACAGAGAAACATGTTTAAAAACGCTGCCATATATCAGAAGTTGCAATAGTACTTCATTTAAAAAATGAAATATTGATATCGCGTTAATACTACACAAATGATAATATTATAAATAACCCAGCGTCAATAACTATATAGGCCTAGTTGACACTCCAATAACTGTTGATTAAGTTTAATGATGAATTTGAAGAATTAAGTTGCATAAAGCACATATAAAGTGTAAAAAGAATTTTCTTAGGGATTGAGTAAATTTATGCAAATACAGGTTGAACAAAGCATTGGATTTGCATCATTTTCTCACACATATCAAACTGTAGAAATACAATACTGGTGTGACTTGAAAGTGCTTTAAATAGCTTCCTATCTGCCTGAGGCATATACAGATGAAGTGTTAAAAGAAATCTTTCGATATGCTAAGATGGTATGTGACAGGAAATATTATCTGTAATTATCTGCTCACGTTCAACATGCTGAACAGAACTAATTCAAACAACTTATTAAAGCTTAACCGCTTCCGTGTTTCTTTCCCACCTTTGTTCCTCGTGGCCTGCTGCCATAGTATCCGTGCAATGTCGCAGGTCCAGGCATGTTTGATCTCGGCGCTGCTGGCTTGGAGAATGTAGGTCTGGTTCTTTGAAGTTCTCCTCCTGAACCAGACCTCAAACCTCAGAGCGTTCTCACCCGATGTCTCTGTCATACCCACATCAGCCGTCTACAAAGACAATGACAGAGTAAAGAGGATATTCACATATCATCTCAATCAATATTGAGGGCTCATGGCATCTTATTGTTATTACGGGTTACAGGAGACCAAACTGATGCTCAGATCTTAAAACTAAAACCTTCTCTGATATTAACATAGGACAAGAATGTGAGTGTACTAGTAAAAGTACAGTGTTTTTTCTGTCCTTCTAAACTTCAGATGTCCTTTAGGTGCTTACCTTAAAAGAGTGCTTATATATGTAAACATCAAGGCCACCCTCAATGCGTTTGGGTTTGCTGAACAGCACTAGATCCTCAAACAGGAACACATGTCTTTGGCACTTCTTCCTGCCATAGAAAATTGTGAACTCATCTTGCCGAACCAACTGCCCCTGCTCTTTCAAATTCACCTAGAAAAGTGAGAAATAAATATGAAATGGTAAATGTAGAAGATCATTTGCTTTCCTATGTCTCGAATGTGAAGTGGCGTGTGTATCCGCTTACATCACAATCTCTGATAGCGTCCATGGCGAGCAGATCATTGCCATGGCGAAGCTGGAATTTGACCATCTCGGCAGCGGCACGTAGGTACATTAGCTCCTGCTCCTGGACTTCGCTCACCTCTTTGATCAGGTCTTTCAGCAGCAGGGCATACTTACTCATGCGCTGGATGGGCTTCAGCAGGTACGACGCCAGGTCCATCTTATCCCCCAACTCCAGCTGCTTATGCTGAAACGGGAGATATTTTTACAGTTTCAGCCCATGAGGTGAGATGAATGTGCTTTGAGCAGTTCAACATAAGTGAAATAAACTCTACACCCAGATTAAATGTCCTGTAAGATTTTATTGAAAACCCCTGAAACTAAAAGCTTATCATAGGTGGTTTATAGTGTAGCATTGGTAGAGTTCCTCACCCTGAAGAAGCTGTTTCCATGGCTGGCCAGAAGTGTGTCTGACTTTGGCTTGTTCTTGCTGTATAGAGCATACAGGCTGAACTGGTCTTGCTATGTTTATATGGAAAAAAAACACAAGAGAAATATTTTAATTGTTATCATCCACATTTCCGCACTCGTGTTCTGAAGAATAATTCTCTTGTTGATCCAGAAATAGAGGGAGGGAGCATTTTTTTCCAAATCATTTCCAGGTTGAGTTTTGTTTGGAAAAACTTTTTTTTGTTTTTGAGTAAATTGTTTTATAATGACTTTTCAGGTTCATATGGAGTGTGCAATCATTTCAGGGCAGGTTTTGCTGCTCCAGAAACATAAATAATTTGGCATAGTTCATATACGTTGCTGTAGGCCAAATGGCCTGCCTTTTTCTCTCTTTTCTCTGTGAATCACCGCCTGTGAAGCCTTCATAAATTAGAGCTCTTTAGGTGAGCCAGCACTATGATTGACCACAACTACAGAGAAAATAAAGGAGATATAGGCTGGTGGTCTTGCACTCATTTAAAGACCTCAGAATCACTTCTTGTGGCTCAGTTTGATTCCCATATTCATAGAGGGTGAAAGGAAAAGAGCAAGTAAACACAGAAAAAGTACTTTTCAGGATGGTTTTAGACTTGTGCTGGGTCAAAAATGAGTCAGTCATGGACTGGGAACAGACGAGCACTGACGAATTAAGCCCCTTTGTTTCATTTCCAGTGAAAATGTGATTCAATTTGTGACATTTAATTGTGATCTCTATTAGAACTGAAAATATTAGAAGGGTCCAGAAAATACAAGAACAGTTCAAATTAATAGACTGTTGAATTTAACTAAAAAAACAGATCTGAAGTCATGCAGTTCGACATGTGCTAGTTACTGTGAAAAGACTGTGACTGAAGGAACTCTCTTACATGTCGTAGGAAGCAGTGGCTGACGCGTAGTGGATGATTGCAGCAGCTCTCAAGCTCTTTCAGGAAATACTGGCTGTGGAAGTCCACCAGCTTCTCCAGGTTTCCGAAGATGATGCTGCGCTTTCCCCGCAGGTCCTGTGGCAGGTCAGCGCGCTCCATCTCAGGGAAATAGTTGTCAATTATGTACCGCAGAGAACGCACATATTCCTGCTCCGTTGTTACCATCTCATCTACGATGTGGCGTAGTTTACTGAAAGACAGTGAGAGTGGACAATTAACATACTTCAACTGCATACTTTTGTCACAAAAACATTAAGCAGCACAATTGTTTTTTAACACTGATAAGACATGTTTCTATTTTTTAAGATTTTATTTTTGGTGTTTTTGCCTTTAATTTGACTGGACGGTGCAGGGAGGACAGGAAGCGAAATGGGAGAGAGAAGGGGGACGGGATCTGGAAAGGTCCACGAGCCAGGACTGCACTGTGTTATGATATGTTTCTTGAGTTCCAAATCAGCAAATTAGAATTCTTTTGGAAGAATCATGTGACAATAAAGACTGGAGTAATGGGTGCTGCTGAATATTCAGCTTTACTATCATAGGAGACATCTTTCAAAAACATTAAAAAACTGACCCAAACCTTTTAATGGTAGTGTATGTCAGTGTGACATCAGTATGTGTGCCCTAACAGCTTTTTCAGACTGTGTAACCATAAAGGACAGGTGTTTTCACACGTCTCTCCAGGATGTCATATGCTTTCTCCCTGAAACACTCAAGCCAATCAGTTGTGAGAGTCCATAATCTCTAACTCAGACTGGATGGCTCACTGTGACCGTTCCCATGGCATTCTTTTTACACTCAGTAGTTTTAAAACACAAAGTTTAACACTTGACTGCCCAGATCTTTTTGACCACTTCATAAAACCCTGATGACAGCAAACCTGAATGCTTAAAGTAAATGATAAGCATAGAGCACCTATTGTCTGACTGTCTTACATACATTACTTTACATTACTTACAGCACTTTTACCTTTTCCCCACACAGCTGAACATGGTGTGTATGTCCAGTATTGAGAAAAACAAGGTGATGTTTTAGCATTTACATTAATCTTAAACTGGATTCTTATCAGAATATTTTAATTAGCCTTAAATATTTGCAATAACTGGACCACACAGAGCCGAACAGCATGTTTTTAGTTATTTCTGTCTGAAAAACTGTCAACATCACCTCTGTACTGTAATCTCAGAGAATAAAGCTGAGAAATGTGTTTTGAAAGGAAGACACACAGATGCAAGGACCTCCTCAAGACGTCTATATAAACAGCTAACTCCATCCATCTCTTCTTTGTGGAGGAGCAGAACACAAACAGGCTCCCCACCACTTCAAAGCCCAGAGGACCAGCGCCCACCTGGGAAAGTGATCTGTATCTCAGGCCTGTTTCCCAAGGGGGTTAAGGGGTGACCAGAGGGACCCACAGCTGGAAAAGACATCCATGGAGATTCAGAGGATTATGGGGCTGTGACTGTTTAATATGAGACATATTGAGTTCCTTTATACACACATTACAAACATGATTTAGTCTGTATATGGTTTTTAGCTGGAAAACTTTTTTTCCCTGGATGTCTTGTGTGTGTGTGTTCAATTTTGAGCAGTTTGCTGTGAGTACAGATATAAAGGTGTTTTCAGCATGTAGATTTTCAAAGTTTTGCAAAAGACTAAGCTACACTGTACATTTTCATGTACAGAGGCCCATTTGTAATGTGTAAAAAAAAGTATGATTTTATACATTAACATGTTTACAAAAATAAATAACTGACTTTAATATCATCATTGAAATACAGTTAAAAATATCTAGACAATTTTCTGTACTGTTAGATTTACTAACAAAGATAATATTTCCAATCCAATTCAACATTATTATGCAATATAAATTCATATATTCATAATTAAAATAATTACATTATTAATTATATAATTCATTTAGAATAATAATATAATTATTTACATAGTATGTTTGAATAAGTATTTATTATTTATGTAATTTATTATTTACAGCTGCTATAATTATTTATATGTAATTATTTACAGCTACAATAAATTATTGGTCGGAAGTAGCTTTGCTCAGAATATTCTCTTGTTGCCTGAGTTTTTTTTTTCGTTTTGTTTTGCTCTTCCATGGACACTTTAGCACCCCCTAAGGGGTTCCCGGAGCTCAGTTTGAAAACCCTTGAATGTGTTCTTGTCTTGCAAAAACACTGTGTGCCAGGTTTAATATATTTGTCTGTGTTTTTTGGCAGCATTGTTGCTCATATTCTATTACAAGAACACATTTTTCCAGTGTGAGTGTGTGTCTTGTCACACAGCTATCATAAAGTGGTGGATATATAGTAAGGCCCTGTCCCAAATGGAACAATTCATGTGCACTTGCGGTCTTATGGACTTACAATGGCCGCCACGTGCACATGTCCGTTAAGTCCACGAGACCGTAGGGTGTCCCATTCGTCATTTTAGCATTCAGAAGGGTGCTCGCGAGCGCCCCCTTTGCGGCCGTTATGCGCCCTCGATCCGCACTTCTGCTGAGCACACATTGGGGCGAGCTCCGCAGCAGACTTCTACCCGACAGTCAAAGCGGCATTACGTCACGAAAGTGCGGACTCAGAGGAAGACCACGAGGGTTTAGGGTGCCATTTGGGACAGGGCCTAAGTGGTTTTAAGCTGAAGCATGCTTCAGTCAATGGCCTGCAGACCTCCCTGGTTGATTGTGTTTATGTTACAGCAAGTGAGTGTGGGTTAGCACTTGTATAAATGTACCCACCTGCCCTTGCTGCGTGTTTCTGGTGCAGGACTCCCGCTGCGGTGTGAATCAACAGAAGACCATCCATGCATGGGCGGCAGTCGCGGGCTGTACGGCCGATCGATCACTTCAGTGCTGCTCACCTCCAGACCCTTAATGAACACCCCTGTGTGTCCTCTCCGTGCAGGCTCACTCAAAGTTCTCTGACAGGTCCCATACCGTGACACAGACTCGCTACCGGCCGTATCAAAGCTCTGGGTCTTCCGCAAAACCCTGCGGTTTGGTTCTATAGAAGTGAGGCTTGGGCTTGTTGCACATGCCTGCCCCTCCGCTTGTGGCCGCTGCGGAGACTCGCCTGTAGAGATGCTTCGTGTTAGCCTGTGGGATCTGACAGGTGTGCTGTGCTCAATGCTATATGGACTTCCTGTGGGGGTTCGGACAGAGTCACGGGTGTCCATGCGAATGCCTGAAGGACTGCTAGGAGTGGAGGACATGCTGGAATGTGAGGAAAGTCTGTCCCTGCCCCAGCCTCCACCAAACGCTTTCCGACATGAGAAGGAGACGCTACTGCTACGCTCCTGAGGTTTAGCGCTACGGTCCGAGTTCTGGCGAGAGGAGTCACCCCTCGCTGATTTGGAGCCGCTCTCGCGGCGGGTGCGCAGGGCCATCTCCAGCTTCTTCTCAAACATCTGCTTGGTCTCCTGACACTTGGACCAGGCAAACTTCCACTGCTTGAGTCCCTGCTCACTCTTCAGCTCCCCAGCGAGGTCCTTCATCTCCTGGAAGTGTGCGTCGGGGATCGGGGGGTGCTGACTGCGATAGGTCTCCAGACACGTGATCACGCTCTGACACTTGTCAGACATGCCACATTCCTCCATACTAACACACGCCAAATGACGCATGCCCTCTAGCGCCCATACATATGCCTAAAAGAGAGAGAAAAAGAAAAGAGTCAGCTGATGTGATGAAAAAAATGTGAAAGACATTAAAACCACATTTTGTGTATGGTAAACCCAGTTATATACTTTTGTCAGGGGTGCACGTAAGTGGTACACATGTGCGCATGCATGACCAAAATTAAAAAATGTGCTTTGTAAATAAGTTCAGAGCACTCGTTTACGAAACCGACATGTTAGACTATATATATAGGCTATTAAAACACAATTCATAACTGTGATATTTCATTTACTGACGTACTTCAGTTGGCAGCGTTAAACCCAGCAGCGCATACCGGCAACCCGCCAAAATAAAAGCTTGCTGATTTTAGTTTTGAAAATGATGAAAATTCATATTAAAAAAGTAAATATTAGCATTTTATTTTTAAGTGTAGTATAAAATAATTGTATTTTTATTTAATACTCACTTTTTATTTTAAAATATAATTGATATAACATTTTATTGTTTAGTTTATTATTTTATTACAAAAAACGAACTAAAGTGCTATAATATTATTATTACAATTATTAATTTATTTTTTATAGTTATATTAAATGGGTCACATTATGTGCAGTGTGAGGACTAAACCAAATCTCCAGGTGCTCTTATGAGAACCAGACTGAAAAGCTTATGTGCACCCCTGACTATTGTAGTATTTATTAATATTTAAATAAACTACGTTTTTTTCAGTTTCATTTTCATTTTCGTTTAAATTTACACTTTTATCCAAAGCGTCTTACTAAAGAGAAACAAAATCAATTTGTCAAAGAGCCAACGATATTTGTTATATACAATCCCAAGTTACAGTAATTTGTTAAGTGTGTTTTTATTAGTTTATAAAATTTTCTTAATATTTTTCTTATTCATTATTTTTATTTATTGTTTTTCTTATAATTTATTTTCATTTAAGTTTTAGTTTAAGTAATTTTATTACTTAAAATTTCAAATTCTTACAATTTTTTTCTTATATTCTAGCTTTATTTAAATTACTGAAAACATTTTAATAGTAATAGTATTTTTAATCATCATTTTAAGTTAATTTTAAGTTTTTACATAATAACAACACTGGGTAAAATGGCAGCTTTGAAAAATATATATTTTTTTTTAATGGAAAAAAGGGATTAAAAAAAGAAGAATGAAGGCAATATGTCACATAAGAAATTTTTATGCATGCTTGAGAATAGAGAAAAGGAAAACAACTACACAACTACAAATGCAGTGTTGATGGGGGTACGGGAAGGATAGAGTGAATGAGAAACCTCCCAGCATTTCTTTCATGTGAAATAAAGAGGTTTTTAGCCAGGAGCTGGGAGGTCTAGGTAAGAAGGCTTTAACATGCAGCTCAGCAGCAGGAGGGCCTATAGTTTCAACTATGTGTGACAGCACCCTGCCACAAAGACACATGCCAACTGCTTTACTAGCTGTCTTTCCATTTATGAGAAAATCTGATGGCCCCTTCTCACACTCCAAGATGCTGTTACATCAACTGGGCGGCACTCTTGTTTTTAGACCTTTTTTCATCAGCATCCTGGCGGGCAGGTTTCTATAGTGAGTGCTCCGGAGGATACAAGTGCTCGCCGTGATGGGAAATGAGTGGTTAAACTTCAGAGGGGATTAAAACAGATCAAACGCAACCACCTTCCACCTCATACACACACACTTCAGCGCTGACTACAAACACAGGGTTGTGCTTAGACATTCCTGAGAAAGGAGCAAAACTCCCCCTCTTCTCTCTCTTTCTGTGCACACACAAAACCTCCACAATCTACTTTTGCTGCTATGTGACATGGTGACATCGCTTGGCTCCCCAAGCCCCTCGGCTCTGTCTCTTTTTCAGATTAGGGTGACACGGAGGCCACATGCCAGCGTATGGGCCTTTGGCACCTAGATACTAAAGTCTCACAAGAGCAGGGCTCAGAGGTTAGCTGCCCACAGTAACAATACACACGGCTAAGAAGTGACAGAACAGATAGAGGAGAGAGACATATACAAAGAAGACACAAAAAGACGCAAATGCGACATAATTGATGAGTGAGAACCAAACGGTGACAATGAATTTTAAGGTCCTTTTTAACCCTTGAGTTGCAAAAATGTGGTTTGGTTTCTCTGAAGCACTATTTAGGGTTAAATACAACTGAAGTTCTTTTACAATGGAAAACCACGATGACTTTTAATCTCAAATATTAAAGTAACGAAAGTAGCAACAGATCTTTTTCTTCTGTACTATGAAGAAAAGTGATGCACTTTCTTGTGACGTGCATCAGAGTGAACAGATTATCAAAAAAAGTGTAGTGCGGTGTAGTTCTATCCATCGGTTATTGATTGGATGGAGGCAGATCTGAACATGAGCTCGCAGTCGATTGTGCAGGGGGCAGAGTTTATGCAGACTAAATGATTGAAGAAAGTACAGCATATTTCACCAGAAGATGGAGTTATGACATTTTCATTATAAATTACAAGCTCCAAAACACAAAAAGCAAAACAAAACAAAAAATCGTTCACAAAAACATCAATAACATACATTTAGAAAATATATAGGGTGAATTTTCATTTCACTTGACAACTCAATGTATTGTATATATTAACAAAATATTTTTACCTTTTAAAAATGCATTTGTCACAACAAAGCACCACTTAAATTAAGTGCAAAAAATTTTTTTCTGTGATATCTGACAGTGCACTACAGACTTCTGCATTAACTGTAATACATTGATAATCATTTTGCTTGAATTACAGTCAGTGACTCCAGAAATCTTCAAGTCCTGTTAATTCTCCATAACCTCCCCTTTACCTCCTGATGTGTGAAACAGACATGGGAAACACAAACAGATGTAAAGCACTCTGTTTCTGCAGTAAAACAGCACAAACGGCTGACGGTGATAAGGTCCACCATAGGTTCTGCAGAGGCCCTGGGATCAGAGACTCCAAACCAGCTCTCAAAACTACCCCCCCTCGGTGGAAAAATACCCCCTGCCCTGCGCTTTCCCCTCGGTGAAATAAAGCAGACACTTTGATCTATAGCCCAATATAGTTCCTCACTCTATCTGATGATGCCCGTGATACTGTGGGCAGGGGATGACTTCATCGTTTGGTTTGTTAGCATGTGAGGCTCTTTGAAGTGTGAATGGTGTGTGTGTGTGTGTGTGTGTGTGTGGTGGGGCTCTGATTGGTGAGAGCAGAATTAGTTTGCCTGAGGGAGGCACCTCTAAAGGCCCCACTATTCAACCCTGCATAAAGAGTGAGAGAGAAACAGAGAAATGGAGAGAGAGTGTTAGATGTGCTAAAACAGAGCGGCGGGAGTGAGACAGATCCAGTCTTGGACTGAGCTTTTGTACACTCCCATAAATTAATCTCTTAGCTGCAGTTTAAGTGGGTCAAGAGGAGCGTTTTAAACTTGAAAGAAAGCATCTTTTATCATTTCCTCTAAAAGAAAACCACGAAAAGGAGGAAAGGTTTTCATGGCATCAGCCAGTCTCTGATCTCATGTCGGAGCCATGCCAAGAATGTGTTTTTTCCTGAAAGGATAGCGTATGTCAAAATGTGAGCGGGTATTATGCACACTGGGTTTTTAGGAGGCACGGGCTTAAATTCTTCTGCCAGTTATTGCTCTGTAACTCACCAAGCTACAGGCAGGATGCTTAACTCCGACACAAGAACCTGGTATACTGCTCTGTCATTTTCATTACGGCTGAAATGATCCCCTCTTTCTGAGTGGCTGAAAGTAAAGAAGGAATGGTAAAATGGGGGAAAATGTAAAAAGAATGGGCTGTGGACCCTCCTGAGCCAAAAAGCAGGATCTGAACGAGTGATTCTGAAAAAAAAGGATGAAAAGAAAGAGAGGGAAACAAATAGAGGGAACGCGAAAAAAGGTTGATTTGCTATAGGCTGCAGAAAAAAAGTTGAGGAGGAAACTAAGACCACTTTTTTTAATGAAGACACCCTGCAGATTGTAGAAAGACCAACTGGGACCAGTTCCACTAAAAATGAATTCTCAGATTAACAAAACAATCTAAAATAGCACAAATATTTACAGCCCCATTCATGGATAAAATCAAATAAAACAAAATCTGTGTCATTTTAATAATTTACCACCTTTTTTAAATTATATTTTTATGATTTAACACCAACAACCACTATTACTTTTGTAAATTAAATATAAAAATATTTATGGTATTTGTCATTATAATAAATACTACAAATATATAACTTTTCAGTTCAATGACAGCATGTTATGCGCATATGCTAGCAGATGCCATATGCTATCTGAAAGCTCAATCTAAAGTAATGCAAATAAAATGAAATGAATACTCAAGGATGAAGAAGAGGGATGGAAAACACAAGAGAGACAGCACCTGTATGATAACTAGCCCCTGTGATTTTGACTAATTCAATCTAATTGTGGTTTTCGAAGCAAAAAAATTGTGAATTCACCGAACCTAAAACCCAGTAATGGTCATTAATCTTAAACCGATCAAGTAATGCCTGATGCTGTTGTATGATTGATGAGGAAGTCTTCAGCAGTTTTGTGATTCAGTTCGGTTTTGCCCTTTTGTTGTGTGTGTCAGGGGTGACGCATGCAAGTATGCACGTGTCGACTGTGGAGGGAACGTTTCTGTGTTTCCTATAAAGCTTCATGAATGTCAAAGCCGAAGGAATCAGGCTCAAGAAAGAAGAGTTCAGCGATGGCATGCACACACACACACACACACACACACACACACACACACAGAGAGGAGGGGACTCGCAGCCTGTGACAGATGCGATTGCGGTCTCCTCTCTCCGGTTTAATAAACGTGTTGCATATGTAGAGTTATGCAAAGCACATACGCGCCAGCTGCTCCACAGCAAAAGAGATCATGAAACACTCTCTGCCTACTAAAGGCCTGTCGGAAGCACTAGGCCTTTGCGAGAGCTTCATTTTCTACTTCCTCTCTGGTTCAACTCCAATTCAGATGCAGGAAAAAGTCTCTTAATAATGCAGATTCTGTGT